AGATCCGTTAGATTCACATCCATTGCCGCTGTTGGAGATCACGAGTGGTAAGCATTGTCTTGAGGGACACCCCACAGGTATATGTCGTTCAATGTCTTCGTGGTGGCGATGGCTTTGTTTATCGCTTTCGCCGCCGAGTTTACGAGTTATCACTGAATCGGATATGTCTTTCAATGCTTTCACGGATACCACGGATGGCTATGTCTTCGGTTATCGTCACTCAATACACGCACACCTCTTATCGCTTCCTCCGGAGTCTTTCGCGCGAGTTATCACTTATTTAGCCATTCATTCATCGGTTCCCGTGGTCTCGCCCGACGCTTACGTGAAGTAATGAAACGAAGTGTCAATTAATGGTTAATAAAAAACTTTATATTAATTTAAAAACAAATAATAATTTAAATTTAAACACAATTTTCATCGGATTTCAAGCAATGATTGCATTGAATGTAAAAACTAATGAAATAAATGGCGAAACGAGTTATGCGTTAAACGCTATGCGCGTCCGGAAAACGCCCTAAGAGTCAGGGAATACGCCCTAAAAATGCGCGAAATTCCCTAAAATACGGGAGTTTTCCCCACAAAACTGGCGTTCAGTTCAATGCGTAAACACTGAGAGAGTGAGAGTGAGAAACACTCTCTGTCGCTGAAAATACCCCAAACCTCCGTGAAATTCCCTGAATTGCGAGCAAAATACGGGAGTTTTCCCGCAAAACAAGCGCTAACTTGACGCGAAAACTCCCCAAAAACTAGTCATAAATAGCATTACTCTCATGAGTTGACGGTTTGTTTTGCGTGCGATCTCCGCATCTGATCCACCATTTGATCCACTCTTTGATGACAACTATCACCACCACCGGCATCACCACATGAGGTATGATATCGCCATCACTGCCACGGATCTAATCCGACCATTGATTGATCGCTGCGTCCATTATAGCGGTCACAAAGAGGTGGTTGTCATCGATGACAGCGACTCCGATGTGGAGGAAGTGGTGCTCGACTCGGACTCGGACTCCGATGTCGTGGACATCATCACCGAAGAGGGGGATGTGGTCTTCGAGTCGCATATTGTCAACAAATCCATTGACAAGAAACTCGACTCCATATTAGAGGCGCGAAAGAAAGTGAGCTCAAGAAGGGGTCATCAGATCCCCGGCGACAACGACCTCCAGATCGCCGACAATGGCCACCAATCGGACGTCAAGGCGGAGAAGGTGTCGCCCTATAAGAACACATCACCCGCTAAGACGTTAGCGCCGGTGGAAGCGGAGCTCGTGAAGAATGGGTCGCCGTTTAAGGGAACGACACCACCGATGGTGATGACGACGGCGACGTCTACGGAGGCGTCCGATACAGATGTGTTGACTGAGAGGACGTCGGCGATGGAGTTGACGTCACCGCCGAAGACGGCGTCCGTTGACAGCCAGACATCAGCGGCGGAGACGTTGACGCCGACAGAGGTATCGCAGACCACGAGCGAGACGTTGACAGCGAGTCAGACCTCGCAGTCATCGGTGGTCTCGAGTCAGGCCTCGCAGTCATCGGTGGTCTCGAATGGAGTTCCCGTTGAGGAGTCGGCGCCCATTGATAGCTCACCACCGGTGGAGACACCGATGGTGAGCACCGCGACAGACACTGCGGCGACTCGAGAGGAACGGTATGTGTGTTCATACGAGCACTGCCTACAGGAGTTCGCGGACGCCGTCGCCCACTATAAGCACGAAAAGCGGCATTTGATTGCATTGCGGGACAACAACGAGAAGCCGTTCCCCTGTACTCATAGGGGCTGTCCGTTCCGGGCGTCCACTCACACGGAACTCATTTACCATAACTCGGAGCACCTGAAGGTATTCATGTGTCGCGACCCGAGGTGTCTGTTCAGAGCGAAGGCGGCGATCGGTCTCAACAATCACATGAAGAAACACCGGAAGGGAAAGACGTCGCGGAGAGTGACGTCTAAGGAGTGGTTCTGCGATTGTGGTGAACGGTCGTGCGATCCGGCGTATCATGACTTCAGTTAAACTGATCCATAGATTTGAATGTATTTTCTTAAACCGATTTTATGGTTATATTTTTATTGTACTGCAAAGTGTGTTATATTTTTGGCTATAAATCGTTAAATAGTATTAAAATAGGCATTAATTAATTGATTCATCAGTTTTGCAATCATTAATTTGATTTTGTATTTCAATGTATATTTAAATTATATTTTTTGACATTAATTTTGGTGTGTTTTTGTAATTCAAATACGTTTTTATGAGTTGAATAAAGTTGATAATAAATTTTAAATGTAAAATTGATTTACCGATTAATAGTTAACAAAGTACCAGGGTATAATCAGGATTTGTATGAATATTACGGTAATATAAAAACTTTTTAAACTAATTGCTCATCAATTACAGTATATTTGTAAATACTTTTAAAAACTTAAACTACTTTTAACCCTGATTATAAAAAATATTTAAAAAAATAAATTACTATTTAAATTACGTGACTAACCAGGGTACTACCGTATATTCTGTATTCATATTAAGCTAGACTACAGAATAATACACAGAATATTCATTTGGCAGCTAATCGTGACATCTATTGCATGACACGTGACAAGTGCTGTGAAATCAGCTGTAAAAATGAGTGGTAAGTCTAAACCCGCTGAGGAGGAAGTGGTCCCAATTGAACCATTCGCTCACCACTCGAGGCAACCCATATGCGGGACGAGGAGTAGATACCGGTGTGGACGGCGGGGAACGGCTGTCAAAGTGATGACCATCAGCGACGAGTCCAAGTATCTCCTCATACATGGCGTGCCGGACATCAAATGCGATGTCAAAGAGGAGTTGCGAAGAGTGTGCGACCGGTTCGGCGCCATTGACGGTCTCTTCGCCACCGATTATCCCACGAGCGAAGAGTTTACGAAAGTTTTTCTCATTAATTACAAGAACTTCGCGAACGCCGTGAAGGCGAAGAAGTCGTTAGACGACCGCGACTTCTTGGGATCCGTTCTGCACGTGTGTTACGCACCGGAACGCGAGACCATCGATGAGACCAGAGATAAGTTGCGCCAAAGAAGGAGATATGTGTCTAACGTGTTGACCAAAGGGTATGATATGTCTTAAGATACTTTTACCACTCATTGTATTGATTACTGTTTTCTCGCTGTTTATAGACATCTGAAGACCACGAGAAGCGAACCATTGGATTGCCATCGAGTGGCCGATGAATGTGGTGTCGAATCGCCGGAAGTAGTGGTCGAGAAGGCGACTGAAGACAAGTTAAAGCGAAAATACAGTGAAATACCCGAAAAGTCTTCGCACGAAAGCCAATCACCAGTGGATCCGTCATCGGAGCCAAAGCGTGCGAAACTGACGCCAAAGATTCGGTGGCGGAAGTAGTGGACACTCATTACCACAGATAGATATACAGAAAATTGTCTTTTATTGTCAAACAATGGTAGACATGGAGGATGTGATTACAAAAGTATCGAAAAACAAATTAATTTACATTTTCTTGTATACAATGATTTGAATTGAATTTATAAATTACAACACATTTTGCGAATTAATCGCCAATAACACAGATCCTATTATCACTTAATTATCTCTTATTCTTCGGCAGTAGACCCAAACTCTGGAGGCAGACACTGGCGGCCAAGGCTTTCGCCAACTTCTTGTTAGCGCTGGACACTGAGGGCTGGTATTCCACGCCTCCCATAATCACCTGCCAATCAAATCCAATCAATTAATCCGATGCCTCACCACCTCATGAGCTCACGAGGAATACTACAATACCACCCATACCTTGAACGTGAAGTTCTTGCGGTGCGCCGGACCCTCTTCGCTCACCTGCTCATAGACCGGGACAGAGACCTTGCGTTTGGCGCACATCTCGTACAGCATCGACACCGGGTTCTTGACGCCACCGCCGGCGCCGCCATCGGTGGCCCCCCTTTTGGACACCAACTGCGCCGGCAGATTGCGCACCAGCTCCTCCTCGGCCACTAAACCCTTTTTATCCATTTTGATGTCCAGCGCTATCGGGTCGACCGGCCCCTCATTATTCTTACCCAACCCCTGGCCCGGACACCAACCCATACGCATCAGTAGATGCATACCGACCCCTCCCGTGATGGGCGCCGCAGTCTTGAGCTGATCCTATGGTCCGA